AGGAGGAAGACTATGTGCACTCTGATTAGAAAAGATACCAATAAAAAGCCCTTGCTATTTCAAACATTAACAGTAATTATGAAGGTAAAATTATGGAAGGAAACTTTTTTGATTTCTTCTAATTGACATTTATTAGTATAGAGTTATGAGTATGAATTGTGGACCTCCCAAAAATATCTTTTCAAAAAAATCTTTATTGCAGATAAGAAACTAATGTAATAAATTAATTTAATTATTAATAAACTTAAGAGTCTTCATTGACAGAGTCCTCATCACTATCCATCATCCTTATTATGAGTCCATGATAGTGATATTTTTCACATTTATTGGTTTGCAAGTTGCTTCTGATTCAACAAGATGTGCTAAGTGAAAACATTAGCATAAGTTGACAAAAAAATATGCTGCATTAACTTAGAAACATCTCTTCATATTAGTTTATGATGTGACAATCCCAGGATCAAATAGAAAATGGAAGTTGTCTAAGAAGTTTGTGAAAAGTCCCTACTCTTTGGAAATAACTCAGAATTCAAGCATGATTCATCCCAGATGTACAATCATTTATTGACCATCTATTGCTTGCCAGACACTCTGGTGGATGCCAAGGACACCAACATAAATAAACACAATTTTTGTTATGCACAACCTAAATTCAGATTAAATCTACTATTATGAAGAAACCTAAAGTATATATTCCTAAAATAGTAACATCATTTCTATCTATATAAGTGTTAGTTACCAAGGGAAATAACCCAGTAAATTAAGTGGGCGCCCTCCTAATAGTGAATACATGCCCCTTAATTTGGCATGATGTGATATTAAATTATATAGCACTAAATTCTCCAAGTAACTGAGAATTTAAAAATAAAAATAAACTCCTAAACAGTATAATCAGTTTTCTTAAACTTAACCATTTGACTTTGCACTTTATGGTACTTGTAAGAAATGAACAAGATAATGTACCTAACAAGTGAATATATAATGACACTGTTTGATAAGATTAATGAGAAATAATTAGTTGCTTCACGTTCTTTGCCATTTATTCTGGGACATATCAGCAGAGCATGTGTGAGTCAAAGGCTTTGTAACCAGGGATTTCTTTCTTCTGTGCTATACGCATGTAATCTGATGAGTCCCCACCTGATACGGTGGTTGACAGGGAAGAGGCCGAAGTAATAGAATCATAAGTTCAATAAGCCTAATTGGGGTGGCTCTATTATTAAATCTTCAGCCTGCTGGTGAAGCAGAGGCTGCAAGCCACAGCAAATAATAATGGATCCACTTGAGCAGACGTTACAGTAGAGAAAACCTTTCTCTGTCTTCATCTTCAACACCTGAACCAGTTCTGAGCATAACTCAGGAATTGGAACATGGAATAAGTAGGGCCTAGAAATCTAAATTAATTCCTCAAGTTTTGTGATATTCAGACTAAAAGACTTCCACAAATTTCAAATTTTGAGGTAACTTTTAAGTCTTTTTTAAAAATTAGTCAAAATAATAACAAAACATAATATATAATGTTGGTTAACTTACGTGAATTAGAACAGTGATTCTAAACTTTAGTGTGTATGAGAATCACCTTGAATGCTTGTTAAATACAAAGTCCTAGACTTCTTCCCCAGTGATTCTGACTGAAGACATCTAGAACAGGGTTTGGCAATCTACAGCTTAGCAGGTGTCCCTGATGACTCTAATCTGGGTAATACTATCTGACATTCACAGTTTCAAAACAATGGCTTTTTTAAGAGTCCAAAAAGAACGTTAGTTGGGTAACTTCTGTATGCTGGAGGCCAGTCCAGAGATAACTAATGGATTCTTCCTTCAGGTTGCTCATTATCAGCTGCGGGGTCAGATACAAAGATAACTAACAGTGTGAAATGAGACAAGTACTTTGTAACTAGTATTTTTAAAGTTCTTAGGAAATACAAAGGAAGAAGCAGTTATTTCTGCCAGGAGTCAGGGAGGAAAGTTGAGCATTATTTTCTGAGAAATGGCATATATGCTCTAATTCAGTTACTAATACTTACATCTTATTCTATTTTTTTTGTTTTTGCCATCACTCTGTTTACACTGACTTTTCATATGTTTATGGAACCCAGTGTTGCTTTTGAGTTTTGATCTATGTGTAGGTGTCTATTTTATTGTTAGTATCTTCATGTTTATTTGAAAGAACACTCAAAGTCCTAAAATTGACCGTTGTACCAGCTTATTTACAACCCCACTTTAACCAGCTTTATTGTGGATTCTGTCTTGTACTAGCATTGCACTCTGAGGTACTAAAAGACTGGCACTATGCTATGTGCCCGTTTTTGGCTTAAAACATTTAATTTGTTTTCTGATTTGGGTACCAAGATACTGTTGATCAACGGTGGGTATTCTCACACTGTAGCATTCTACCATTAAATATCATACTTCAAAGTGGCCATATATGATAAAGCAAACGATTTTATCTACAACTGCTTCAAAAGTTTGCTGAGGAAATCGGATTTGAGATAGTTTACATCAGCAGTCCAGCAACTTGAAATTTGAAAAAAAAATGTAAGGGATACAGAATGAATGTGCAGCCAAATATTTTCCTCTACAGTATGAGCATGAACTCTTTTTCCATTTTATAATATCTTTAGGTAGAATTCTTGAGACATATCAAAGGATTAAAAAAAAAGAAGTAAAAAAACCTTAGACCCAGAATCAACCTTATTTTCTCAAATGCCAAAAGAACTTATGGTTCTAGGGTACAACGTTCTAATATTAAAATTTCAGTACACCTAAAGAATATACATGATTAGTACTTTAACACACAGGCACACAGATAAAGATGATGTGTTTAAATATTCTATATTACCCTATTAATCTTTTTCGAGTAAATATTGTCCTACTCCAATTTTTGACAAAATGAATGATTCTATTAAATAATTAAAGCTTACCCAGTGGGAAAGATTTCTGTCCCAGAAATGTCAAAGCGGTTAATTAGTTTCTCTGATCTGTAGTCTATATTTAGTAAAGAATATGCCCTCCATGAAATTAAATGAATTGCGCACAGCAGCCAGGGACACAGGAGAAGCCAGGCTCAGGCCCGCAAATCAACTCCAGAGTGACTTCTGGGACTGTCCCAGGTCAGAGGAGCCTTCAACCTTCCCTGACCTCAGCTTACTTGCCTAAGACGCAGGTGACACTATACCGTATCAGGAGGAAGAGGGAAGGAGGAAGTACAACCGGCAGGATGATTCTTTCTAATATGCTAATTACTGAAGAAATAACAATTCAGCAGGGCCAGGCTTGGCGACCCATGCTTGTAATCCCAGCATTTTGGGAAGCCAAGGCGGGTAGATCGCTCGAGCTCAGGAGTTCCTGACCAGCATGGGCAACATGGTGAAAACCCATCTCTACAAAAAATGCAAAAATTAGTCCAGCATGGTGGTGCATGCCTGTAGTCTTAGCTACTCAGGAGGTTGAGGTGGGAGGATTGCATGGGCCTGGAAGTGAGCTGTGTTCAAAACACTGAACTCCAGCCTGGGTGACAAAGTGACACCCTAGTGAGACCCTGCCTCAAAAATTAAACAAAAAAACAAATGAAAAAAACAACTTAAGAAAGGACTTCAAATGTTTCATGACTATATTTTTATCTACAAACATACATTTTTCTATGAATAGCACTATCAACCTGAAACTAGAATTCTGAAGATTAAATCAGATAGGAGAAAAGGAGAGTGCAAGAGAGCCTTGAGTCACTTTGGCCAGTAAAGAGCTGAAATAAATGGAGTCCGTTTCAAAATGTGTTATATTTTACTATGGTCATCATAATATAAAAGGAAACATATGAGAGGAAAATGTGATAGAATTCTTTCTGTTTTAGCCTGTTCCCTCAAGTGTTTTAAATGTACCAAAAAATCTTCCCTTTTATAGTGTCCATGCTGGCACCTCCATTATGATGTCACTTATAGGTCTATCTGTTGCCAGATCAGTAATCAGCAATTCCAAAAGTGATGTTCACTCATGTGTGGAGGTACCAGAAGGCCATGGCTCAGAAGCTAAAAAAAATCACTGCTACACAGATGTGGTGTAATGAAGAGAAGATCAGAGGGGATCCAGAGTCTGATGAACCATATTTGAGGGTTAATAGGAAGAAAATCTCCAAATCAATGATGTTAACGCTTAACAAAAGGGAACTTCACTGGTTGAATTACAATAGCAGATAGGAGGGTAAAAATAGCAATTTGAGATTTTTAAACCTGTGTTTGTAAGTTACATAAATAACAACAATACCTGAAGTTAGACCCCAGTGAATTCATTTCTGCTAGTTATGCTGGATAACAAAAAGAATGTTCTCAATCAAACCTAATAAACTACCATCTCCAAAGCACCAACTATGTGCAAAATGCTATGCTAGTTGTAGTGGAAATTTTAAAATAATAATAATAAGAGCACAAAATGTGGTCCCAGTCTTTGGGGGATTTTTAAAAACTTATGAAACAGAATTGATTACATGTGAAATGAAAGAGCCAAATAGATGGGGAGATTCTCATGCCCTAATTGGAATCATGTTGTTTGACCTAGTTGTAGACTGGTATGATTTGGGAAAATTTTCATTCACTCTTTACACAATGAAAGACTAGTTTTCTTCCTATTTCACCAACAAAGTAAATAAAAAGGATACATCATCATTGCCTTACCATTCTAAAAGTAGAACAGTATCTTCTATGTGAAACAGAAGGCTAGATCAAAATAAATTTCAGTGTCAAAAGCAAAGGAGGTCTTTAAAGGTCTTTAAACGAAGTGAAAAAATCAAGTTAATTCACTTCTTAATTACTGGCCTTAAAGAAATAAATTGAATATCTTGAAAAAAGAACTCAAAAAGCATCTCAGTTTCACGAGCAAATGCAAATAAAAAAAAAAACCACAACCACAACCAACCAACACCAATCAGAGTGGTGCTCCTTGTGGGCCCTTTCTGAGGATTGGCAGAAACTGCATTTTTTAATCTCGGCTTTCATGTTTGTCCAAGATCTTTAAAGGGAGGGGAAAAAATAGAGAGAGAGGCAGGTACTGTATAAAAGAAGCTCCCTTGAGGTTTCTAAAATTTACACAAAAACATCATAGGTGAGGAAACTCACCAGATTGGGTATCTGCTCTTTGGTGATGGACCCAGAAGAAACTTCAGTTTATTTGGATTATTACTATGCTACAAGCCCAAACCCTGACATCAGGGAGACCCACTCCCATGTTCCTTACACCTCTGTCTTCCTTCCAGTCTTTTACACAGCTGTGTTCCTGACTGGAGTGCTGGGGAACCTTGTTCTCATGGGAGCGTTGCATTTCAAACCCGGCAGCCGAAGACTGATCGACATCTTTATCATCAATCTGGCTGCCTCTGACTTCATTTTCCTTGTCACGTTGCCTCTCTGGGTGGATAAAGAAGCATCTTTAGGACTGTGGAGGACGGGCTCCTTCCTGTGCAAAGGGAGCTCCTACATGATCTCCGTCAATATGCACTGCAGTGTCTTCCTGCTCACTTGCATGAGTGTTGACCGCTACCTGGCCATTGTGTGCCCAGTCGTATCCAGGAAATTCAGAAGGACAGACTGTGCATATGTAGTCTGTGCCAGCATCTGGTTTATCTCCTGCCTGCTGGGGTTGCCTACTCTTCTGTCCAGGGAGCTCACGCTGATTGAGGATAAGCCATACTGTGCAGAGAAAAAGGCAACTCCACTTAAACTCATATGGTCCCTGGTGGCCTTAATTTTCACCTTTTTTGTCCCTTTGTTGAGCATTGTGACCTGCTACTGTTGCATTGCAAGGAAGCTGTGTGCCCATTACCAGCAGTCAGGAAAGCACAACAAAAAGCTGAAGAAATCCATAAAGATCATCTTTATCGTCGTGGCAGCCTTCCTTGTCTCCTGGCTGCCCTTCAATACTTTCAAGCTCCTGGCCATTGTCTCTGGGTTGCAGCAAGAACGCTATTTTCCCTCAGCCATTCTTCAGCTTGGTATGGAGGTGAGTGGACCCTTGGCATTTGCCAACAGCTGTGTCAACCCTTTCATTTACTATATCTTCGACAGCTACATCCGCCGGGCTATTGTCCACTGCTTGTGCCCTTGCCTGAAAAACTATGACTTTGGGAGTAGCACCGAGACATCAGATAGTCACCTCACTAAGGCTCTCTCCACCTTCATTCATGCAGAAGATTTTACCAGGAGGAGGAAGAGGTCTGTGTCCCTCTAAAGGGAACTGTGACATTTCAAGTTCTGTTGGTGGGTTTAGGAGTTAATTTTTGTCAGCAAGAAAGAAAGAAGTGTTAATGATAGGATTCACGTTGCTTCATAGATGCAAGGAAGAATTCGTTTTTAAAGAGAGGACTGAAAAATCCCTGGGTTGTGGAAATAATTAGGCCATGTGCTGTTTTCTCAGCTGAGCAGCCTTCTTCACCCTTGCCAATCAAGTCTACCAGAGAAAATTCAATTCCCATCTGTCCTTGAACTCTTGGATAAAGGCTCCTGCTTGAACCAGTCCCTTTCTTCATGATTGTTAATGCACATTTGGGCCTTTCCTCTCTCAAAAACCACGGTACCTTCATCCCCACCACCCTTCATACTGGGCTCCAAATTGGACTACATTTAAATGATTCTGCCTACTTTCAGAATCATTTAGAATCTGCCTATTTCAGATGAGAAATGCAGTAACAATGCAGGTAACAAAAATATAATATACCTGCACTCTGCAATTAATTGTTTCTGAGTTACTAAGCTAGATTCTGACCTCAATCTTTGAAGCTTTGTACAGCGATTCTTCGTCATCTTCCAACATTGTGCTTCATCCTATGCCTATTCACAATGGCTTTGGATTGGCAAAAACAACTCATGGGGATTTTGTATTGTGTTTATGATTTGGGACTTTATCATATGGTCTTCTAGTATTTTAACACATAAACATATGACAGGATTCAACCTCTATTTGCTTTATAAGATATTGATAAAAATGTATCTCATTCATAATGGTGCAGCGACTACTTTTTAATGGGGTTTTACTATGCTCTTTTGTTTTCATTGCCTTTATAAATTAGGATTTGACTTTGCTTTAATTACATGTTTTTAATTACCCAGTTATCTGGTTATCAAATGAAAATGTTATTACTAATATAATTGGAACTCATCAAATCCTTAACTCTACCCCAATGCAGATTATCATTTTGTATTTTAATTAAAATGTTAGTGCTACACATTCCCTATAGCATCATTTGCTTGGTGCCTATAATTTCAAGATAAGATCCAGTAGTATAGGGAGACAGGCTGCTCTGTATTCAGACAAAGTAGAAAATCTCTAACAAAGATATCACTTGTATTTTACATACATTTTTTTCCGTACACAGAAATCTTCTTGAATTCCTTTACCCAATAAATATTTATTGAGTCAATTTGTACCTGTATTACTTTTGAAGACTTTGATGTGAAAAACATGTAATTAGAGTGGCAACCACAAAAGACTCTGCAGCAGCAGGCATGCTACTGTAAACATCTTTTGATTCAAGGGAAAGTGGGTTATGTTTTTACCTCCACTGTTGACTTGAATGAATTACCATTTTACTTCTAAATATTCGATTTGAAAATCAGAAAAAATTTAGAATCCTTTCAAAGACTAGCCAATTTAATTTCGTCTCATGTGTCTTTCATATTAAGAGAAACCTCAAATATTGGACATCTCCCTGTAGCCTAATTAAAAGCTGAAAATAGAGTTTTTGGTTTTATAAATTGGCAAACTTGTTAATTTTTCTTAAACTATTATTAAATAAAAGTATAATTTCCTTACATAAGTATTCTTCTGAACTGTATTAATCTCTAACAACATATTAATCCTAATTCTAATAAACTTTTAGTAAATTATTATGGTTATAGAAAAAAAGACCATGTAAATAATAACAAATAAATATTCTTGGAAAACTTCAAAACTAAATTCAATGCAATTGATCTCCAAAAGTTAAACAAAAACAAAATATAGAAGGTAGAAGACACACATTTCCTTAAAACAAATCAGCAAAAACACCGTTACTAATCATGAAAGTTACTGCCTTTGAAAAATACTGCCTTTAAAAAATAGCTGAATCAATCAGCTAAGTTATTGGTTGGGAAAGGAGAAAACCTGTGCTATTAATTTTAGCTTCACCCTTAATGTTGTGATACTAATAAGGTCATTTTAATCTTTCATACTTAAATGTAGTGGGTAATATCTATGTCTATAGAATTATCAAGGATACTGTAAAAATAATAAATAAAAATAAAGTTTTAAATGTGGAGTAAAAAGTTACTGTATAAAGTGGTTTGACTATTTTACTTCTAAATGTTAGATTTGATAATCAGAAAAAACTTAGAATCCTTTCAAAGACTAGCCAATTTAATTTCATCTCATGTATCTTTCATATTAAGAGAAACCTGAAATATCGAACACCTCCTTGTAGCCTAATTAAAAGCTGAAAATAGAGTTTTTGGTTTTATAAATTGGCAAACTTATGAATTATTGATCATTAATTAATTGTTATTAATTAAGTTATTAATCATTGACTACTTACAAATTTTCAAACTAACATCAGATAATTCTTAATCATTCTCATTTTTAAAATACTGAGATTTTGTTTTATTTCTACTTCTTCACTTTAATTTTGCTGAGAATATTTAAAATAACACCAAAAAATATGTATTATCGGTTTCTTAATACTTTAAATAGATATAATAATTGTAGGCTTTAATAAAATCCTAGTGTATTTTATATTCATAATGTACCAGTTGTGAAAGAAAAAAATAGCTATAATTTTGTAGGTAGTATAACTCTAATAGAAAAAAGTTCAAAGCTTAAGTTTGTACATTATTTTGTTATATATGGATTCTGCTGGTATGAAATGTAATTTACATTTACATTATATTACAGTATTACATTATATTATAATAGCATTAAAAATGTATTACAAATTATTTAGTTGTCTGACATTTTGCATATTTTTAAAACCATAGGCCGGGTGCAGTGGCTCACGCCTGTAATTCTAGCACTTTGGGAGGCCGAGGCAGGTGGATCATGAGGTCAGGAGTTCGAGACCAGCCTGGCCAATATAGTGAAACCCTGTCTCTACTAAAAATACAAAAAATTACCGGACATGGTGGCAGGCACCTGTAATCCTAGCTACTCAGGAGGCTGAGGCAGAAGAATCGCTTGAACCCAGGAGGCGGAGGTTGCAGTGAGCCAAGATTGTGCCATTGCACTCCAGCCGGGGTGACAGTGCGAGATTCCATTTAAAAAAAAAAAAAAAAAGCCATAATATTTCTTCATTTTTAATTTGAACAATTTCTATTTCTATACATATTTAGATGTTCTACATATACATACAGATATACATAGAAACACAGACTCATATTTATAACTTTTCATTATTTTTATTATCGGAATTAAACTAGCCTAAAGGCTAGTTTGTGATAATTTGATGTCATTAAAGAACAAATCAACGCATTGCCAAGAATTTCCAGAAAATTACTCTTTCGTCCTAACACAATCATGCCTTGCCAGTTATATCCAAAGTTAGGAAAACGAAATAAAATTTTTACAATTCAGCGTAACACACAAGGAAATCACTACAGATTAACATTTTTTGTTGTCATTTGCATAAGTAGTTCAAAGTTACTGTGAGGAAGTAAATGACAAATATAAAAGTATAGTGATCTCTCCAGCATTTCTCAGACAACTTTTTTAAACTTACCCCAGAAAAGCGCTCCATTAAATCCTGGGTAATGTGTTGTCTGATACTTTACAATTAATTTTAAAAGAAATGTACTCAAGGCAGGCATGGTCGCAGATATTGTCCCAAATATATTTACTCCACTGGGGCTGTATTGAAAGGTTGAAACTAACCTGATAATCCTGGGAGTTTCTTAACCTGTCCACTCTTAACAAGTCAAAATCACTTCTGTGGTGAAAAGTTATAACAACAGTCTTAAAGGCAAGCTATGTGCGTGACTGAGAATGGACTATTACTAGGGGTCACAAGTTAATTTTTAAATAGATGCAGAAATGCACAGTATGATGATAAGGTGAGTGGAAAAAAATCTTCCTCTGTGATTCATCTTGACTCCTCAAATCACTCTCTATTCTACCTAGCGATCTCAGAAGTGAGAAATGACTTGTCAAATGTGCATGCCACAAAGAACCTATTTTCCTACAGAGCTCATTCATAAAAGCTGGGCAAAACTAAACAAATTACAAATTTGCTTCTAAAACCAAACCACTGGTGTAACCTGCTAGCAAGATAACGGCTCCAGCCCCGTTAGAAAAAGAGGTGCCACCGAAGAAAAAGCAAGAGGATGATTGTAACTACCAAAATATTTGCAAACTGTTACAGACCACTGCAAGTTCCTTTTGTCTTTCATGGAGTTTGATGTGGATTTGATTTTCCCATACAAATGCTGGTTATTATTTAAAGGTTTTTTTTTTTTTTTTTTGAGCCAACATTATTTGTTTTTATCAGTTTTAGAAGTAAACGATTATGACTAGACTTTATGTATAAGTGTACAGGGAAAAACAACTGTGCCAGTGACTTGATTTTATATTGTAAATGTAAAAAATCCACCCTAGGGTGAGTTACTCTCATTGCTTCTTCTTAGCTTTGCCATTGCCTTAATAGAGCTGTATTTCCTAAACATATATGACAAGTGGAAATTGCATCCTAAGATAAACCTACAGCATTAAAAACAAAATCCAAAACAAAAAAACCCCTACTTTAAATATCCAAAGTATCAAACTAGTCATAAAGGTTCTCATGACAAGGTAAATGGTAGTGAAATGTAAATTTACATAAAATGCTCATTGTTAATCTAAAAGTAGGGGGAAAGTATCCTGCCAGTTGGGCAGACATTATTAAACTAAAACATTTCTGGTTTATGTATATAAGCACCAAATTTCTAAGATCCAAAGGTACTTCCAAGTTACCGTGAAACTTTCTGAGTTAGCTGCATGTGCTTAAAGATCTATGACAAAATATTCACATTATTATTATCATTATCTGCCAACCTAGTAAAGGATGTTCATCAATTTGATATTATTCAGTGATTTTTCTTATTTGCTAATTAAATATATATAATAATTAACTAGTTTTCTAACACTCTCATATTAGAAAGAGTTAAACATCATCTATGAGTGCCTCATGTTTGTCAACATTGATAGGAAATTTAACATTTTTACTTGCTAGGTCCTATCAATTCTGATTTAAAATATTTTATTTCTGTATTTCTATTAGTTCAAAATAAAACAAAAAAGTACTCCTGCCTAGCATATTTGTGATCTGTATACTATAAATGCACTCTTTCATCTGCTCTTAATTATATACAAAACAGGAGATATAAACTATTATTGTGATGTTTACAGAGAAAATTACATTTTATGCATCAAAAATTACATATGACTAGAGACTTTATTTTTAATTTAAAAAATATCTGTGGCAAAGCTTTCAGCAAGCAATACTGCTCTTTTCCTTACAGAGTATATATAGACCCTTTGTATTTCATAACCATCCATTGTAAAACCTCCACAAATCCCTAAATTTGCCAACTTCAATATAGCATATAATCTACTTCATACGAATTGAATAAAATGTAATGTTTTCAGAGCTATTGCAAAATGTATAAAAAGAAAAGTTGAAAGGAGGTATCTATCCTAAGTGTTTGGCCTGACTCACTAGTTAAGTGACTCATTTTGTATCACCTCATAGGTCAGTGGTTTAAATGTCTGTTTTTTATGTCATACAGCTGTGGAGTTTCAATCAAAATTTCAAACATCAAACTGTGAATGCAAAATGTCTATCACACACAATGCACCATGACAGCCATAAAAATTCTTAAATCTTTTTATTGTAACTGGTGGATTCTAAAACAGGCATATTGCAGTTACACATTCACAAAATCTCTTTCTTTCTCTTTTTTTTTTTTTTTTTTTGAGATGGAGTCTCACTCATTCTGTCATCCAGGCTGGAGTGCATTGGTGAGATCTCGGCTCACTGCAACCTCCGCCTCCAGGGTTCAAGCGATTCTCCTGCCTCAGTCTCCTGAGTAGCTGTATTACAGGTGTGCACCACCATGCCAGGCTACCTTTTTTTTTTTTTTTTTTTTGGTTTTTTTTGGTGTTTTTGAGTTTTATCAATTTTCACCATTTTGGCCAGGCTGGTCTCAAACTGCTGACCTCAAGTGATCTGCCCACCTTGGCCTCCCAGAGTGCTGGAATTACAGGCATGAGCCACTGCACACAGGCTTTTCTTTCTCTTATACACATGCACAAACTCACAAACATACTGTATACAGTTGCAGCTGAAAAGCATCTATTGAATGTTGCTGTTAATATTCAGACTGAAGTACTTGAGATGAATATAACTATTTTATCCACTGATAAAATACAGAATGCAGGAAAGGAGAAAATACAGCAAAGAAAAAGCATAGTAAATAAAAAACACAAAATAAAATGGCATATGTATGCATAAATACATCAGCAATTACAAAAAGCATATAAATGCATTGAAATTTCTACTAAAGGGTTGAACATGGCTGGGTGTAGTGTCTCAGGCCTGTAATCCCAGCACTTTCGGAGGCCGAGATGGGAGGATCATTTGAGGGTAGGAGTTTGAGACCAGCCTGGTCGACATAGTGAGACCCCTCTCTCTATATAAAAAAAAAACAAAGGTTGAGGCCGGGCATGATGGCTCATGCCTATAATCCCAGCACTTTGGGAGGCCAAGGCAGGTGGATCACCTGAGGTCAGGAATTCGAGGCCAGCCTGACCAACAGGGAGAAACCCCACGTCTCTACTAAAAATACAAAATTAGCCGGGCGTGGTACCACATGCCTGTAATCCCAGCTACTCGGGAGGCTGAGGCAGAAGAATCGCTTGAACCCGGGAGGTGGAGGTTGCAGTGAACCAAGATCGTGCCATTGCACTCCAGCCTAAGCAACAAGAGCAAAATTCCATCTCAAAAAAAAAGAAAAGGTTGAACAAATATATATATATTCATATTTGTTCACAATAAATATATAGAGTGATATATGTATATCACTTTACTTGACTCTATAGGAGTTTAAAAGGTAGAAGCAGAACTTGTTTTTCATGGAGTTTAGAATCCACATAGTTGCTTTCTTTTTTTTTTTTTTAAATCAAAGAATGAAATAGTGACACCCAAGAAGAGCTTGGTATATACAAGGAAAATGACAAGTCAAATAATTTTCCTTGGTCTTTTCCAGTGTTTAGAAGAAGCTCATACTTAGTCCATATACAAGTCACTTATGTAATTGTCATTTTGATGTGGTTACTTCCTAAACATTGTTACATTTTCTTAAAGAGTTCACATTAGCATCCTCCAATGAAAATGCTATCATTGTCTTTATAGATTTTAAGACTCTCGAGTCTTAAAAATCTGTAAGACTTTAAAAGTATAGACTCATTAACACAAGAACACATCTTGAACAGTATTAGGTTTAAATTTATTTCCAAATGACAAACTAAAAAGTATGCAAAGCAAAGTAGGTAACAATACATGAACCTTGCCCAGCACAGTGATTTAATGAGATGCCCTTTCATGTGCCCTTGGGTTAGAGCAAAAGCAAAACTGACAACTCAGGTGGAGAAGTGGTAAATGAGAAACGAAACTTGGCCTGTGGTTTCATGTTTAAAGCAAAAATACAGATTCAGAGCACTTGAGGATAGATGAGAATGTCTACCCTTTTTCTAACAAAAAAAGATGTTTATGCGCTTCACACCTGACTTGTGTATGTTACTAGAAATAGCTTAAAAATCAGAAAATTAGTAAAGAATTGAATAAAAGTCAACACATAACTGTATAACTTAGTCCTCAGGATTTCAAATCACTGTGTCCTTCCTATAATAATTTAAACATAGAAAAGAATATTGCCAAAAAGTTTGTACATTTATACTTAGCATAATACATAATATTAAAAAAATAAAATATGGTTTTACCCATTAAACTAACAAAGAGTGAAACATTAAATACTAAGGTTGACCAGGATTGGGTCTGCAGGTATGAGGGAAGCTTATTGAGTGTAAATTGATTAAGCTTTGTAGAAAAAATTTAGAAACCTGTATCAAAAGCAATTCCACTTCTAAGATTTTACCCTAGAAAATCATAGCCAGGTGAAAAGATATATGCACATGTATTTTCATTGCAACATTGTTCATAAAAGTAGAAAAGTGAAAACAATCTAAATGTCCAAATTGACTGAGTAAATTAAATTTCATGTACTTTCTTACAATGGAATACTATGCAGTCTTTAAAAATACTGTACCATATACTGAAGTGGAAAGACATTAAAAATAAATCCAATGAAATTAAGTGAAAAAAGTACACTACAAAACTATATCTATAGGATGACTACATATTTGTGACTATTTTATTCATCTACAAATGCAAAAATACTGGAACCCTATACAGCAAAATGTTAACTTTGTGAAGTAACAGGTGATTTTTATATTTATTATTACTTATATTTTCCAAAAATAACATACATTAATTTTGTAGTAATAAAAAAAGCTAAAATTTAGTTTAGACTTTCAATGAAGTACACAAGATAAAAATAGTAGCTAAATTTATTATAAAACATCATTTCTGAGTTGTAGGTCCTCTAGTTTTTCAATTACTGTGTTTCTGATCTGTGAGTACAATCCCTACGTTGGCCTTGAGACCTCCCCTAGTAATCATTTGATTCTTTCTAGGATGACCCTCTGTTTCCTTTACAAGTACCCAATTCCTTAAAAGCAACAGTTTTAGAACTGCTATGTATTTAAAATTTGAAAATGGTGATGAACATTTCAGCATGCAGGCAGGACCTTTATTTTCCCATAATGTCTCTTAGCACAGCAACTATTGTATGCTGCGTAGTGACGCATCTAGTGCCATGTCTGTCTATCAGGTAAGAAGAGAGCTCCCTCCTCCCTGGGGGTGGGGAACAGAAGAAGCCACGTCTTCATTTTTGTGTAGCCATATGCTTGCTTTTTCCATATCAAGCACTCATCATTGTTGAACTAAACTGAACATGCTAGAAAAATCTCTCCGTTGATTAAAATGAAAAACATTTACAAATGTTAAATATTAAACTTTTATATTCATATTTTTGCTCAAATATCTTTTGCTTCTGATCTGCTGTAACTATGAGGGACAAGGAGTCTATTACAGTCACAGGTCATTAGGAACAATCTTGCCACTGTCCTCTAACGTTTTTGATCATTCCAGCTGTATTTGACTAGAGAAATAAGTGACGCAATATCCTTTACTTGATTCCCATTCAGCCCTTTCTTGGTGTGACATTGATTTTCTATTTAAATGGAAGACTTTTCTGAATACGGATCCAATATGACTAATAACCAAAAATAGTGATTTCTAATAACTGTGTGATAGTCAGGAGTTCCACTGGCTACTGTCAGGGTATTATAAATCTTTCCACAAACTCCAAACCTATTTTCCACATTAGATAATAAGTAACTTATATGACTATGCCCTTTTGAGAGAGAGTGAGAGTGGGATTATGAAGTCAAATGATTGATCAGAAGATAAATTCCATAAAGGCTGTTGCTGTGTTTTGAATGCCCCTGCCAAAACTCATGTTGAAATTTAATTGCCATTGTGACAGTGCTGAGAGCTGAAACCTTTGGGAAGTGATTGGGCCAAGAGGGCTCTGCCCTCCCAAATGGATTAATTCCATCATTGCAGCAGTGGTTTAATCATCATGGGAGTGGGCTAGTTATCACAGGAGTTCTATCCTCTTTTTCTCTCTCACCCTTCCATCCTTCTCACTTCTGCCATGGGATGACTCTCACCAGGTACTGGTGCCATGCTCTTGTACTTACAGAACTGTGAGTCAAATAAACTTCTTTTCTTTATAAGTTACCTAGACTTTGGTATCCTGTTATAGCAGCAGAAAATAAACTAAGAAAACTGATACCAAGAAGTATCAGTTGCCACAAGCAATATCTGAAAATGTGGAAGTGGCCTGGGACCTGGGTAATGGATAGAGGCTAAAAGAATTTGAGGAGTAGGCTAGAAAAAGCATAGGTTGCTGTGGATGGACAGTAAGGGTGATTCTAGTGAGGGCTCAGAAGAAGACCACAAAACTAGTAAGAGCCTGAATCTTCTTAGAAATTACTTACGTGGTCGTGACCAGAATGTTGATACAAATGTGGACAGCAAAGGCTATTCTGCTGAGATGTCAGAGAGAAATTAAGAACAAGGTATTGGAAACTGGAGTAAAGGCCATTAGTGTCAGAAAGTAGGAGCCGGGGGTGGTGGCTCATGCCTGTAATCTGAGCATTATACTCAAGTGGATCACTTGAGGTCAGGAGTTCGAGACCAACCTGGCCAACATGGTGAAACCCCCGTCTCTACTAAAAATACAAAAAGGTAGCTGGATATGGTGGCATGCACCTGGAATTCCAGCAACTAGGGAGGCTGAACCTGGGAGGCAGAGGTTGCAGCGAACCTCAGGTGGAGAGTGAACCTCCTGAACCTTGGGAGGAGAATCGCTTGAACCTGGGAGGCAGAGGTTGCAGTGAGTCGAGATCGCACCACTGCAGTTCAGCCTGGGCAACAGAGTGAGACTCCATCTCAAAAAATAAAAAAAAAAATTTTTTAATAAAGTAGGAAAGACCCTGGCAGAATAGTGTCCATGTCCTAGAACTTTATGAAACGCAGAGCTCAAAGAGTGATAAACCAGGATATCTGGTGGAAGAAATATCTAAGCAGTAAAGCATTCAGACTGCTAAAAGGTTACTTCTAACTGCATACTGGAATGACCTAAAGATGAAATTTATAATTAAAAGAGAAGTAGAACATAAAGAACAGAATATTCACAGACTGGCTAGGTAAACAGTGAAAATGTGTGTTTGGGAGATAATATTAAGGGTATATTGTTAAAAAGAGATGAATATGGATACAAAAAAAAAGCCAAGCGCTATTCATTAAAACAGTGGGAGAAAGCCCCCAAAGGCACTTCAGAGATATTTAAGGCTACACCCCCCATCAGAGGTCAGAATCATTTCGGGGGATGGACCCAGGGTTCCCTACACAGGCTCATTGCCAAGAGCCACCTTGGGACTCTGATCCCCACATTCCGGTGCAGCATTCTTTGGCTGCCCCAGCTGTGACTCAGGTGGCTCAGCCCACTACTCCAGAAGGTGCACGCCATAAGCTTTGGCAATGCCCATGTGGTATTTAGTTTGTAAGCATGACGAATGCAAGAGCTGTGAGGTATGACTGCCTCCACTTAGGTTTCAAAGTGTAATGCCTTGGGGAGCTGTGCAAGTGGAGTGACCCCCAAGATTACAGAACTATAGGATACCAGTGTGAAACTCCAGCCTGAGCGAGCTAAAGCATGGGCTGAGCCCAGCAAAGTCATAGCGACAGGGCTGTCAGAGGCCTTGGGAGCCCAACTCCCACCTCAGTGTGCCCACGATGTAGGACATGGAGCCAAAGGAGACTATTCTCTAGATTTAAGACTTAATGTTGCTTTCCCTGCAGGGTTTTGGACTTGCTTGGGACCAGTTACCCCTTCTGACCTGCTTCTCTCTTTTGGAATGGAAATGTCTATTCTATGCCTGTCTCACCATTGTATTGTGGAAGTAGATGGCTTGTTTTGATCTCACAGGCTCACAGCTGGAGAGTATTAGCCTCAAGATAAATTATACCTTGAGTGTCACTCTTATCTGATTTAGATGAGACTCTGAACTTTGGACTTTTGAGTTGATGCCAGAATGAGTTAAGACTTTGAGGGCTATTAAGATGGAATGAATGTATTTTGTACTAAGAAAAAGATGAACTTTGGGGCAACAGGGATGAAGTGCTGTGGTGTTAAGAGTCCCCGCCAAAACTCCTGTTGAAATTTAATTGCCACTGTGATAGTGTTGAGAGGTGGGACCTTCAGGAGGTGATTGGGTTGGGGGGCTCCACCCCTATGAATGAATTAATGCCATTATTATGGGAATAGGTTAGTTATGATGGGACTTCGGCTGTCTGTCCCTTCCACCTTTCTTTTACCCTTCCACCTTCTGCTCTTCTGTCATGGAATGACCCTCATCAGACACCAGCACCATGCTCCTGGATTTCCCAGCTTCCAGAACCATGAGCCAAACAAACTTCTTTTCTTTATAAATTACCTAGTCTGTGATATTCTGTTACAGCAGCAGAAAATGAAATAAGACAGCTGTCAAAATGCTATTCTGACTAATTTTCCCTTGCTGGCACTTCCCAAAAAGAACAACGTTATCTCTACTATCATGATATAAAATGTTTAAATCGTCAATTCATAATTTTTGTTATGACTTAACTGTTACCATTGGGAGGGTAAGATAGCATTGTGGTTAAAGAACACTGACAGATCTGAATTTGCCATTAATTAGCTATGGAAGATGAGCAGTTTCATAACTCTCCTAAGCCTGATTTCTCTCTATAAAATAGGAAAAATTATACTTGCCTTAGAAAATAGTAGTACCTCTAATTAATTAAGATGAAAATGTAAGGAATTCAGCAAATTACCTGGTACATACTAAGAGTTTAATAAATGATAGTTGAGAAACAGTCCCATTTTATAGATGAAGAAAATAGTCCTCAGAGGAATCATTTCACGTAATTATTAATGTAATGAACCAAAAATGAAACCCCAATTTCAGTTAAGCTCAGACCTATGTGATTGCAAAGCTCATGGTCTTTCCACTTCACTGTATTCTTTTCTGATTCCCAGATTTTCTCTCTCTTTCTCTCTCTCTCCACTACCTTTGCCTAATTGCAATCATTTTCACTCAAATTATTTTTCTTATTTTTTCCAAAGCAAATATCTCAAATAAATTCTTTGCCTATTCACAATTAATATAAAAAGAAAAGATGCTTCTTGAGGGAAGAGGAAGTCCATTTTATTAAAAATATAACGTTTTCTAAAAACTGTAACATGTTTTCTTTTCTGTTATATAATCTCTTAATTGTGATCTATCACAAATGGCATTTTCTATCCCATTGACGGCCACTTGAAGCCTGTAGTCGATTCAAAAGTATGTTTCACACAGGAAATGGACAGTTATCTATTTTGCCCATCTAACACCCAAATCCACCCTAAAGCACAAATGCTATCACACCTATGACAGTGTCCTTCACCGGAAAATGTTTTTTAGAAAAAGTAGATATGGCTTGAACCTGGGAGGCGTAAGTTGCTGTTAGCCAAGATTGTGTCACTGAACTCCAGCCTGGGCAACAGAGCAACACCCTGTCTCAAAAAAATTAAAATCAAAAAAATGGTAGATATGTACTAAATTATATTATCTCATTTTCTCTATCCTTTAAAATTTTTCTGGTCACAGATTTCTTATGTATCTATGGCAACAAAGAAAGAAAAGTAAATGTAATCCCAAATCTCACACTCTAGATTTTGTGCCTGTGACACAAAATCTAAGATATGGAACCTAAACTGGCATTAGGAGTTTAAACTTTTACCATCTTCTTTATTAAAAGTTACTTGTTAAGACAATGAGCTGCCGGGCGCGGTGGCTCAAGCCTGTAATCCCAGCACTTTGGGAGGCCGAGACGAGCGGATCACGAGGTCAGGAGTTCGAGACCATCCTGGCTAACACGGTGAAACCCCGTCTCTACTAAAAAAAATACAAAAAGCTAGCCGGGCGAGGTGGCTGGCGCCTGTAGTCCCAGCTACTCAGGAGGCTGAGGCAGGAGAATGGCGTAAACCCGGGAGGCAGAGCTTGCAGTGAGCTGAGATCCAGCCACTGCACTCCAGCCCGGGCAACAGAGCGAGACTCCGTCTCAAAAAAAAAAAAAAAAAAAAGACAATGAGCTGCCCTGGGCCATGTGCAGAAGAAATTTGGTAGACAATGCTCTTGTCTTTGTGAAACTTCATTTACACTTTTGGAAGGCACGTTCATGTTAATGATTTCCTCGTTTTAATAGCAGCTCCCAATTGTAGTTTTAAGAGACAAGGGTTTCTCTATGTAGTACATTATAAACTGCCCCAAACATAGAAACTTGATTTAAAGTTACTTTAAGTAAAAAACAACATTTTCTATGTATCACTTTTAAGAGAAGTTAAGGATGTTATGAAGTAAAATAATGAGTTAATAATCACGGACCATGCGGACGCGGTGGTTCACCCCTGTAATTCTAGCACTTTGGGAGGCCAAGGTGGGTGGGTCACAAGGTCAACAGATCGAGACCATCCTGGCCAACATGGTGAAACCCCATCTCTACTAAAAAATACAAAAATTAGCTGGGCATGGTGACATGTGTCTGTAGTCCCAGCTACTCGGGAGGCTGAGGCAGGAGAATCACTTGAACCTGGGAGGCAGAGGTTTCAGTGAGCCGAGATTGTGCCACTGCACTTCAGCCTGGCAACAGAGTGAGACTCCATCTCAAAAAAAAAAAAAATTACTGGCCCACAACCAAGGAGAAAAATTAAACATAATTTTGAGTAAGAGAATATGATACTAGAGTATTAATCCTAACATTTATTTTTAACATTAAAGAGCAATTATCCCAGCTTACTTTATTTAGGAAATATATTAAAATGTTAACAAAGGGTGTTCTAGGTAGTAGAACCAAAGACAAATTTATTTTTCTCCTTAATTTGTTTTTCTTCATATTTTTCTGAATATTTTACATGTTCTATAATAAGCATGTACTTTTTCAAAATGTTAAAATAAAGGATGCTGAAATAAATGTCATGCATCACATAAAACAAATATTTATTATATATTTATTATATAAAATATAAATATATTTATTTTGTATTATTATATTACAATAATATGTACAAGTTTTGCCTTTTCCTTCAAAGTCAAAATAGGAAGTTTTTAAGTGTCATGTC